ACTCACTCACTCACACACTCATTCACTCACTCACTTACTCACTTATTCACTCATTCACTAATTTTCTCCCTCATTCACTCATTCACTCATTCATTCACTCACCCACTCACTCACTCATTCACTCATTCATTCATTCACTCACTCACTCACTCGTTGAGAACATGCAAACTCCACACAGAAACACCAACTGACCCAGCCGAGACTCAAACCAGCGACCTTCTTGCTGTGAGGCCACAAAGAGACACCACTGAGCCACTGTGCCGCTCTTTGTGCAAATTGGTTTGCACTTATAATCTTTCATCAAATTCTGTCACCATCCCGCCCCTCGAAACTGCGCTTCTTCACTTTTGGTCATATGGTATGCCTTAAGGGCGGGCCCATGAGTTCATTAAGGTGGAGCTATCAGTCCTTTAGGTGGGGATTTTAGTCATTTAGGGTGGAGCTATCAGTCTTTTAGGGCGGGGCTTTCAGTTACTTAGGGTGGGGCTTTTAGTCTTTTCGGTTGGAGCTATCGGTCCTTTAGAGGGCAGGACTATCAGTCTTTTCAGGTGAGCTGTAAGTAAATTAGGGCGGAGCTATCACCCATTTTCCAACAATCCAGTTGTAATGAAATCATGCCCCGCCCCACATTTTTTCTAATTTCAGGACTGTTTCAGAGGGATGTAGGTCACAACAGAGGAGAAGTGGACAGTCTTAATGTGCTGCAGCTGATTATAGCACACAGCGGACACACTGTGAGAGTGAACAGCCAGATCAGCACAGCAGCAATATTAGAACAGCTGCTGCAGGGTTCATGTCAAGAAAAGCAGAGTCTGACACTCAGTGTGCTGTCCTGAACGCATCAGAGATGGAGGATCTGCTGTTACTGATGATGATGATGATGATGATGGTGATGATGGTGATCTGGGAGACAGCATGTGCTCTGAGCTCAGCTTAATACCCACAGCCTCTCATCTGGATCTGTGTCTGTGATTGTAGGACACAGCATATAAATCCTGTGTGTGTGTGTGTGTGTGTGTGTGTGTGTGTGTGTGCGCTCTGATAGGATAATGTGACGAGTGTGTGTGTGTGTATGTGTGTGTGTGTGTGTGTGTGCTCTGATGGGATAATGTGACGAGTGTGTGTGTGTGTGTGTGTGTGTGTGCGTGCTCTGATGGGATAATGTGACGAGTGTGTGTGTGTGTGTGTGTGTGCGTGCTCTGATGGGATAATGTGACGAGTGTGTGTGTGTGTGTGTATGTGTGTGTGTGTGTGTGTGTGTGTGTATGTGTGTGTGTGTGTGTGTGTGTGTGTGTGTGATGTCAGTAATGCAGGATTCATTCATCATATTCATTCAGAGAATTAAAGCTCAGTGTGTGGATCCGCCATCTGCTGCCGAGGGAAAGATCCTGAAAACACCACGGCCTGCGCTGCTTCACTCGTCTTCATTTTACACCAGCTCACTTTACTTTATTCATCAACTTTAGAAATAAAACAGAACAAAACAGTTTTTGCTTCATTATTTGGCTTTGAGTTATTTAGTGTACTGCTTTATTTATTTCAATCCACTTTTTATCTGTAAGTAAATAAATAATCTTGTTTTCTGTGTGTTGTGTGTTTGTGTTGTGTGTTGTGTTGTGTGTGTTTGTGTTGTGTTTGTGTTGTGTTGTGTATGTTTGTGTTGTGTGTGTTTGTTTGTGTTGTGTGTGTTTGTGTTGTGTGTTTGTGTGATGTTTGTCTGATGTTTACTCATCATCATAGATGCTCTTTCCTGCTCGAGCTTCTTCAGGACTCAGGCCAGCTCATGTTCTCTGCTTCATCTGTTCGCAGCTCTTCATGTGTCCTCAATATGTTTCCTCAGTCGTGTTTTCTTGAGATTTCTCCCAGCATGCTCTCTGTCCGCCGCCAGCTCTTAAATACTCACTGGAAGCTTTTAAACAAGCAGCCGCTTTAGAAACACTCAATAATGCAGGAGCAAAGAGCGCAGGATAATGGACCACAACAAGAACAACACGTGTGTGTGTGTGTGTGTGTGTGTGTGTGTGTCTGTGTGTGTTTGTGTGTGTGTGTGTGTGTGTCTGTGTGTGTGTGTCTGTGTGAGAGGGAGAGTGTTTTTAATTTAATAAATAATATGAATAATTCTTGGTATAGGGGTGGCCCGGCGGCTTAGTGGTGTCGCACTGTGGCCTCACAGCAAGAAAGTCGCTGGTTTGAGTACCGCAGTCCAAACACATGTGCTATATGGGAATCGATTAAGTAAACTGGCCGTAGTGTATGAGTGTGTGTGTGTATGGGTGTGAATGAGTGTATATGGGTGTTTCCTAGTACTGGGTTGCAGCTGAAAAGGTATCCGCTGTGTAAAACATATGGAATAGTTGGCGGTTCATTCCACTGTGGTGACCCCTGATGAATAAAGGAACTAAGCTGAAGGTAATTGGATGAATGAGGATCATGTTTTATAACTATAATCAGCAGGTAATGTGTTCAAATGAACAATGTGAGCAAGTAGTTGTTTAAATATAGGCTAATACGCAGTCAGTAGAAGTTGTATGCAAACATTAAAGCTCAGATATGGCGTTTACTATGTTTGGTTTTGATTTGTTTGTCTAATTCATTGATAGAGAATAGTCTTGAGGCTGTTATAAGCTGTCTTCATGACTAATTATTTTCACAATATAATAAAGACATCTTAAGTAAATTGAGTTTATTATACAGTCTATAATTATCACAATGATTATTAAACACCACACGCATGGTTTGACAAACACACACGTACAAAACAGCATTATAATCTTATAGCGCCGAATATTTCAGTCATAACCGAATTTAGCGTGTGACGTCATACGCCGAATTCGCGCTTAAACTTCGCCTTCTGCGATCTGATTGGTGCTTTGCTGTGACGATGACGAGCGCAGATCATCGGTTCAGCTCTTCAGGCGCTTTTCTAGAAGTTTATGGCAATATTTTAGCACAGTTATTATGATTAATAATATTATTCACCTAATACACTATACAATACAGTACTTCAGTGGAGGTCGACGGACAGACAGGACTAAAGGGCTTTCCTGAGGTAAATTCTGATGTGGTTCAGCAGCTAAACGCGATTAATGAATGTCGAGACTGAGGAAACACGAGCAAGAAGCGTCTAGACGAGCAAACAATAACTTTACTGGCCTGTTTTCAGAAATAACATGTCAGAATGAAGCGAGTTTCCCTAAAACAGCACAATAATTTGCTAATGGGGTGATCAGAATAATCACATGTCAAAAGGACAAACTAGATTATTCTGCTTGCCCATTGTCAGATTATTCTGCGTGCATATTTTAGCAAATCTCACTTCATTTTGACTCATCATTTCTGAAAACAAGACTGTGTTTTAAAATGATTTCTGATTTAGGGATTTTTAGATATTTTTAGATATTTGGACTAGAAACATGACGAATCTCTTAAATAAGAAAAGCAGTTTTTGCAGTGTTAATAATCTTGTAATAAAACTAATTCTCCGTTTATCCTATAAGAAAATTAAACAAATAAATGAGCAATTCCATGGAAAAGTCCACCTTGCCATAAAAAATTAAGTTTTTGCCATAATATCGTAATCGTTTCAAAACTACAAGTTACAAGTGCCAATATCACGTCTGTCACATCCATAACAGAGCTTATTATCTTCAAAAATCCAAAAAAGTCAAATAAAATGAACTGAATCATGTTTGTTCTACAGTGAGCAGCTCTTATCCTTTACATTTGCATTGTTTACTTTGGGTTGTGCAGTTTCATTCACAGAGTTTCTACACAGTATGTTGTAGACTGTAAACTCGCTGACTTTTATTTATTTTCCTCATTTAAAACATAAAGCATGTTTAGATAGAGGTTGATGTTTTTCTGATCGCAGAACTCTCTGGTTGGTTGTTTTGGAAAAATAAATAGATATTTCAATTTAGCTTTAACATATACTGTCTCTGTCAATCATGTTTTGAGATTTTACTGCAAATGTCACATCCATAACACTAGAATTGCTCACATTTTCATCTCTTTTTAGTGATCTCTGTAACTCCGTTGTTATAGCAATATTATTTCCAATTCATAATAATATTATTTCAGAAACTAATTCTGAAAATGTTAAATTAAAAACAGAATCCTGCATCATGCCCTGCATGCGGATCACTTTCTGATCCTGACTGTAATTTAATAATGGCCCATTGAAAATAAGTTACTTTGAAAAGCGCAAAACAAACACACCGAGTCTGAAAACAGGCAGGTTTCTGATGATGATGATGTTTGTGTGTACCCTAGCTGTCCTGTGACTCAGATCTTCATTTCTCCATCAGAGACTGAAGCAGAGCTGAAAGTGGGTCAGAGAGAGAGAGAGAGACAGAGTTACAGTGTGTGTGTGTTTGTGTGTGTGTGTGTGTGAGTGAGAGGCTGTTATGTGGATGTTCACATCTCTGGAAATGGTTTTGTACAGAATGAGCTATGGGTGGAGAGACGGATTCCTTGTGTGTGTGTGTGTGTGTGTGTGTGTTTAGTAACTCAGAGCAGCTGTGATGCAGGAAGAGGAAATGCCTGAGAGTCTCATTTCACCAGTGCTGGATCTCATCACAAAAACACACTAAACTAACACACCCATTACACATATGTAACACACACACACACACACACGTGGTCGACAGGGATTTCTGTTGATGTAATGCATTTATATTGTACAAATACAATATACAGCACTTTCACAAATCTCGTGTGTTTAATGCCATTTGGTTTATGAGGACACAGATTATCATGTCAGTATAGGCACAGTATAGTATAGTATAGTTTAGTATTAGTGTACCACACGTTACACACACACACACACTGTATCTGTGATGTGCTCAGTGATGGTGTTGAGCTGAATGTGTCTGAACACCGGAGACTCGTTCGTCTGAATCACTTCACTCTTGATTGACTCTCAGGACAGCAGTGGAAACACGACAGAACCTGAAGTGCAGTGAATGTAAACTGTGTGTGTGTGTGTGTGTGTGTCTCAG